CGGGGATGCCCTCTCTTAGCCTGCGGCCGTGGTGTTTCCAGCCACTCTCCCATCCACCACCTCCGACCCGTGCACCTCGGTTCCTGCCCCGGTCAGCTGCCGTGGCTGTCTCTGAAGGTATGCCAAAAGCCAGGATCTGGAAGACGATCTGCAGCAAAGCAAAACAAAGTGCCCTTTTGCACAGGAGAGCGTGAGGCATGGGCGCTTTCCTCTCTCCGCTACTGTCAGTGCCATGTTGTTTGACAGCTGTTGGAGCCACTTGCTCGCGCTGATGGGGAGTCCTGCCAGCCAGGTGCCTTCACTGCATCCTTTCCTCTTGCTCAGGCACTTGCCTGGCCCCTCGTCTGCCATACCACTGTAATCCTGCAAAAAGAAAGTAACTTTCTGAGGGTGTAATGAGCTGAACAAACTCACTGAGGAGTCAGGTGAGTGTCAGGCCCGTGGCGAGGGGAAAAGTGAGGTACAGCAGGAGGGAAGAGTACAGCTGGTAGCAAGACTGTGTCACACATGGCTGCCTGATGAAAGCTCGCACGTAGTGGAGAGCTGGGATGACAAGTAATTCTGGAGTTTGGGTTTGCGATCTTGTGTCTTGACTCCCTGTAGTAATCAGGATTAGTGTGATCCTTGGGTACATGGACAGAGGACGAGCCTAGGGAACAGACTTCCACGGTATACAATGGAACCAGTTAGACTGGTGCTACAATATTAAATCCAGATGTAGCTTCCATGTTGTAAGAAAGAAGCTGCAAAATTAAAAAGCGAGGGATAAGGTGTAGCGGTCCTGAGCAGGAGACCATTGCCTACCGAGGAGGTAAGAGATCACACACATCAGTGAGCCTGTGCTGTGCTGCATGCCCAGCGTGGCCCTCGGGCTCTGCTGTGCTGCACCAAGCCCTTGCCCGCAGGATAACCTCAGCCACCCCATGGTAAGAGGAGCCTGCAGGCAAGTTCCCACTTGGTACCAGCGATTAGGCAACCTAGACTTCTTTTTCTTTACTGTTTTCCCCAAATCTGCTGCAATTGTTACTTCATCACTAAGGATTATTCTTCTGCCTGGGAGCAAAACATAGGAAGTGGTGATGTACATCTTGCTGTGTTTGCTCTCTTGGTAAACAGGTTTACAAAACAGGGGAGTGAGAGCTGAAGAAGTAAAAGACTTGGAAACGAGGTTTAGTGATTGCAGTGGGCGAGCCACAAAAACCTCAGTGGTGTGGTACGCTAGAGCTTTCCGCAGTAACAATGATAGAAAGCATCTTTCCAATTCCAAAAAAATACCCTGCAGCCTGGTATTCTTGACACTGGTAAGTGACAGAGATTTGAGTGCCCTCTGGCTGAGGAGAACATTAAGCTCAGATCTGACACTTCTGGAGAGGTGTCTAGCCAATTAGCAAAATCGTCACAGACAGGCACTTCTTCTTCTTGCTCTTCTTTGAAAGAAGCAACTCTCTTCTCTCCTGCTAGTACTTGCAAAGAAAAGCTGTAGTTATTTCTTCTCTGTCATCCTAAGGAGACAGGCTTGCCACCTGTGAGCATAAAACAGCCAGCCAGACTCTGAGCAGCGCTACAGATCTCCCACTGTGCCCAGCATTTAGCGCAGGTTGGATCCTGGTGAGTCCCTTTTCTGTGCACAGGTGTTCTGAGGAGGGTACGTCAGGTCTGAATTTCTCTCTGTGAGAAAGGCACTCAGAAGCTATTTCATGTAGCTCCTAACTTGTCGAAATCTAAGTTTTTTAATGAATCTGACTCCAAACGGATAGTTTCTCACACATTCTGTTCTCAATTTCCTTGAATGGATTTACACCATGTTAGAGTAAGAGCTCTTCACATAGGAGGAATCTGCCCTCAGAAAAAAGGGGTAAGCTGTTTGATGACATGTAGACATTTGATGAATTCTTGTCAAAGAGTTACCCAGCTGGATAAGATAGCCTCTCTTATGTGGAATTAACTCCAGAGAAAAACAGAGCTGTGTCTGTGAATAAACTACAGAGATACACTTATCCTCATAGCCAGACACTAAGAAGACTTCTAGGATAACCTGGCAGTGGACCAGGTTGTGGATGATCCACTGACATTGCAGCAGACATGAGGAGAAGGTGTCCAGCTAAATGCTTTCACTGTAAAAAACAGCCGTAAAGGGTTATTGAATTTTTTAGGCTCATCAAGACAGAAGATAAAAATTGAGCACATCATGTCTCTAGGAATTTATGTGTTCCCAGCTGGCAGCCGGTCACAAGTGGTGTTCCCCAGGGCTCAGTATTGGGGCCAGTTCTGTTCAGTATCTTTATCAATGATCTGGATGAGGGGATCGAGTGCACCCTCAGTAAGTTTGCAGATGACACCAAGTTGAGCGGGAGTGTTGATCTGCTGGAGGGTAGGAAGGCCCTACAGAGGGATCTGGCCAGGCTGGATTGATGGGCCGGGGCCAATTGTATGAGGTTCAACAAGGCTCAGTGCCGGGTCCTGCACTTGGCTCACAACAACCCCATGCAACGCTACAGGCTTGGGGAGGAGTGGCTGGAGAGCTGCCTGGTGGAAAAGGACCTGGGGGTGTTGGCTGACAGCTGCCTGAACATGAGCCAGCAGTG